CTTGGGCACGCGGTGAAAATTTAAGACACGTGGAAAAAGAAGTTCTTATTCCCAAAATTGTGAGAGAGAAGGCAAAGGCCAAATGTGATGATTTTGTTAAAGGTAAGCTTCACGTTGAACAACGATGTTTTATCGATCGTACCAATGCTGATTTTTCAGGGGCATGGACAAAACGTGGGGTAGGCCATGGCTTAGGCCATGGTGTACCCTGTGGCCTTCCCTATGGCCTACCGGTGGTCAGATTTTTAACAACATAACAGAGTCGAATGAGTAAGGTGGCACAAAATTATATCCCTCGTGGTTTCTTGTATCCCTCTAATAGGAGTACACTAAAAAGTCACTAACACTAACACTAACACTAACAGTCACTAACGCCGTTCATTAAATGTTTACACTAGCACTCCACTATATGTTACAAACTGGCAGTCGGTATGGATTGTGGAGCCGCCATTTTGGGTATTCTCAGCGACCACGTAATATCGGCCCTTCCCCTGGGGGGAGGGGGGAATCCCATATATAAATGACGGGGGTGCTTGCCATATCTTTAGGGGTTAAAAACGTAGTTTTGGTTCCTCTTAGNATATTGGCCCTTCCCCCGGGGGGAGGGGGGAATCCCATATATAAATGACGGGGGTGCTTGCCATATCTTTAGGTGTTAAAAACGCAGTTTTGGTTCCTCTTAGGGTGTTTAGCCTCAAAAAAGTCCACAGCAGGAGCTTTTGCGAAATATGACAGGAGATAATGTCTTATGTAAGAATTGGTACCTCTTAGGGGATAAAAAAAATTCAAACTACGTCCACAAAACAGGATCTTGGTACCTCTTAGGGGTTCTTTCCAAAATTTCCGACGAGCATCCCCGTCTTTTTTTATAATTGGGATTCCCCCCCCCCTTCCCAGGCCCTTCCCCTCCCTCTTAACATGCCGTTATGGTTGATTGCTTGGCTGAAGAAGCTAGATGTTGAGCACAATGAGAAATAGGATGTTTCAAGGTTGAGTGCTGTAAGGTTTGCATTGTTTTGTTCCCTCCGATTTTGAGAATCGTGTTATTGATTTTTTAGTATACCTTCATTTGAGGGATATAATTTTATGCCACCTTCCTTGTTCGACTCT